GCCCGCGCGGCCGCATTCTGGACTAACTGGAGCCTCCGAGTGCTCCTCAAGGGAAGCCCCATGTAGAGAGCATTACAGTAGTCCAGGCGGGAGGTGACAAGAGCATGGGTGACTGTGCGCAAGGCATCCCGGTCCAGAAAAGGCCGCAACTGGTGCACCAGGCGTACCCGGTAAAACGCCCCCCTGGCCACAGCCGTCAGCTTATCCCTCTGCCATCTCATCCTACTATCTCTTTTTTGCTGTTCCAAAACACTGGACTTTCTTTCTTTCTTTCTTTCTTTCTTTCTTTCTTTCTTTCTTTCTTTCTTTCTTTCTTTCTTTCTTTCTTTCTTTCTTTCTTTCCTTCCTTCCTTCCTTCCTTCCTTCCTTCCTTCCTTCCTTCCTTCCTTCCTTCCTTTCTTCCAATCATCTCTGGCTAGCTTCCAATCGATATACATAATGTATATGTAATATTCATCTGTCAGGATAAACTCCAGGCACTTTGGTAACAAAACGTTAAGCAATTAATATTAATATTAATTAATATTAATATTTAAGTCACTACAAAATCCATTGCTATCCATTCTTATGCAACCAACTATTGTGGTTATACTTCTGTAAATAAACAGAAGGATAATGTAAAGACTATTTAGTTACTGTAGTTGATATGTTAATAGAAGACAGATTGCAAAATGTGAATTATTATATTTCAGGCCTAAAGACCTAGACGAGCGCTTAGGGTATGGTTTGTGCGCAAAAGAACAAGATTTCCTAAGAAAGAGAAAGAAATATGTGGCGGCTGCCCTCAAGAAGACTCTTCAGCTACAAAAAGAACTGAAGGATGATGAGGTAGGTCAAGCCGGGACATACCCACTTTGTTTTATTGCCCCCAAAACTTTAGAGCAAATTGCTAATTCCATTTATGAATGAGTGTAATATATTCTGGGGCAAATTGCCATTAACAGCAAAAACCACCCTTCTGTAGGCTCAACAATGCCAACATTAATGGGTGCGTAGAGAGAAGTAAATAAAGGAAGGTGCCAGTAAGAAGGAAGAATTTATTCTTTCAACTGGAAGAAAATAAGCTGATCACCCTGGCTGCTAAAAGCATAATTTGAATATCAACTTATTTTTACAGCTGGGTACAAATGGTGTCAAGATTAGGTGAATTGGGTAGACAATTTCTCGGAATGTCTACAGAGAAAGGAGAACCTCTGCAACAGTTTCTCCAGGGCAGGACACCTTGTTTTGTTAGGCAAGCAATCCCCTTCCCTTTTCAGTGACCATTTGAAGATACAAAGTCACTGAAAAGTAACTTCACCATTGGACTTCACATGACTATTGCAAAGTCCCCGTGGTCACATGATTGCGATTTGGTTGCTTTACAATTGGTGGACATTTATGCCCATTGCTGTGTCCCATGGCCACATGTTCATCATTTGCTTTACATCTGGCTTCTGAGAAACAAAGTCAATGGAGAATCTAGCAGTAAAAATCACAAGTCATGGGTCTTGTGATGTCATGCTTACCAACTGTGTTGTTAACTGTAGTACTATCACTGAAAAAGCTTCATAACACAAATTCTTTCTGGATGTCTCGTCTTTGGTCCTAATTGAAATGTGGGAAGCTAAGGAAGCTGCCAAGCAGTGTAGAGACTGCTGGAGAGATGATTGTTCAATGAAGAATACGACATTCACATACACCCTATGTAACCTCATAATTAAGTAGGTAGGAGGAACACCACGCTCCATTCACAAGCATTCTCCAACGTACAAGCATTTATTTTCCTTTCAAATAAATCTTAAAGTAACATTTCTTTTATCAACTTGAATGAGAACTGATAGAAAAAAATACAAGACCATTTGCCTGTATAATTTCTGTCAATGCCTACAATTAGAACTTGCCTATGGTACATCTGCTCAACCTTCTCAATTTTAAGATTTTTTTTTCCTCTTGGAACAATGACTAGCAGCTTACTATTTATCTCACTCTGCCCTTTTGTGCTAAATAGGTACCAGTAATCGCAATAATGACAACTGGTGGTGGAACCAGATCTTTTACAGCAATGTATGGAAGCCTTCTGGGTTTGCAGAAATTGAATCTATTAGATTGTATTACATACCTTACAGGTTTATCTGGCACAACATGGTAAGGAGGATTTTCTTTTCATTTACTATCTTTCATGATCCGTCCATTATATAGTGTATGTGGCATTCCAATGTTGCAGGAAACAATAAGCAAGACAAGGATTATTAAAAACTTTGCATATCACAACCTCCTAAATAACAAATGCATTTATATAACCTCCACCTTTCCCTTGAATAAAACTAATGATTTAACTGGGATAGGTTTGGGCAAGAAACATATATACCATTTTTACTTTAAAATTATTTTAAAAGAAATGTAATTAAGTTTTAACCTACGGTATTTTTCAAATGAACAATGATAGACGTTTACAACTTCATAAAGAACATTCCATTGGAATTAAACTTTTTTTTTTTTTTTACTAATTAGAGTTACAGTTAACAACAGTTTGTGGTTGAGATGAATGTGCTACACGATGCTCAGTGTAAAACTGGAGAATATTCTTAGGGGCAAAATATTCAGTAGAGAACCAACCACCCATTTCTCACTGCATCCTCTCTTAATGATGGTTTTCACGTCCTTGTTTTTTCCCCCATTCAAGTTAATGGCCCAATAATTACCATTATCAACTTAAATAAAAAGTACTATGACATTCATGGGACAATATTATGTGGCATTTCAGATACTATATTTTGAATTCTGCCCCCTCCATGTGGAAAAACCTGGATCACTGTCCCCATTTCTCAGAAAGCCCTCTTGAAGAAAAAAAGCAGGGGGATATTATTGTATATTATTATTAATATTATTGTAGTCCAAATTATATTTAAACCTAGCAATAGTGTCACTGTCTCTGAAAGTAAGGTTACTATGCTGTTAGTTCTGTGCTACTCTTACATTTTATTATTATTATTATTTTCAATCAAAACTTAGGACCATGTGTAAATTATATGAAGATCCTGACTGGTCACAGAAATACTTGGAAGATGCTATTAACAAAGCCAGAAGACAAGTGACCAAATCTAAATTGAACTGTTTTTCCATTGATAAACTGAAGTATTATTATGATGAGCTAAGTCAAAGAATCAAAGAAGGACATAGCACTTCCTTTATAGACCTCTGGGGCCTTGTCATTGAATCCATGTTCCATGATGAGGTAATAAGCTTTCATATTAATTAATTGGGAGATTCTATGCAATGGATGTATGCTTTGAAAAAGAAATAGTCTAATAGGAAAGTCCTTCTTCATATATTGTGCAGTTGTTTATGGAAGTGAGGTAAGCCATGTAACAAGCTGGGAGGGTTTTCAAAGTGGATGATAACAAATATATGAAAAATTCACCTCTCAGTGATTATTAGCCACATATACTTATGTTCAGGATTAAAAGTTGCATGTGTGGGTAGTGAGAGAAGGCAGTTGACCTACACATTCTGCTTTTGGACAACCTGGAAATATTTGCTGTTTGTGAGAACTGGGATGTTTTGTTAGATGATCTTTATATTTGGCATAGCAAGG